AGTACAGGATCTCTAATGTGTACTATCCTTAAAGAAATGGGAGTGCCTGACCACCTTATCTATCTCCTGAGAAATCTATATGTGGAAAAGGAAGCAACAGTTACAACTAGATATGGAACAACTGACTGGTTCAAAATTGGGAAAGGAGTATGACAAGGCTGTATATTGTCTCCCTGCTTATTTAACTTATATGCAGAATACATCATGCGAAAGGCAGGACTGGATGAATCCCAAGGCAGAATTAAGGTTGCCAGAAGAAATATCAACCACGTCAGAGATGCAGATGATACCACTCTGATGGCAAAAAGTGAAGAGGAATTAAAGAACCTCTTAATGAGGGTGAAAGAGGAGAGTGCAAAAAATGGTCTGATGCTCAACATAAAAAAACTATGATCATGGCCACAGATCCCATCACCTCCTGGGAAATAGAAGGGGAAGATATGGAGGCAGTGACAGATTTTACTTTCTTGGGCTCCATGATCACTGCAGATGGTGACAGCAGTCATGAAATTAAAAGACGCCTGTTTCTTGGGAGGAAAGCGATGACAAACCTTCACAGCATCTTAAAAAGCAGAGACATCACCTTGCCGACAAAGGTCTGCATAGTCAAAGCTATGGTTTTTCCAGTAGCAATGTATAGAAGTGAGAGCTGAACCATAAAGAAGGCTGACCACCGAATTGATGCTTTTGAGTTGTGGTGCTAGAGGAGACTCTTGAGAGTCCCCTGGACTTCAAAGAGAACAAACCTATCCATTTTGAAGGAAATCAACCCTGAGTGCTCACTGGAAGGAGAGATCCTGAACCTTGGCCATCTCAACATGAATTTGAACAAACTCCGGGAGGCAGTGGAAGACAGGAGGCCCTGGCGTGCTGTGGTCCATGGGATCACAAAGAGTCGGACATGACTTAACGACTAACCAACAACAAATGTATACTATTATTGTTCATCATATTGGATGACTCTTCAGAATACAGTAGGACTGTGGTATCCACAGGGGATCGGATCCAAGCCCCCTATGACAAAAAACAAGGAAGTATTGAACACTATACATCACATGGTTTCTGGCTCCTTCTATTGTCCACTTCTGGTAAACACGCCCTGGTAAGCATGCAAATACTTAAGTCCCACTGATGATTCAGCTTGTTTTTGTTTTGTTTTGTTTTACTCAAGTCGCAATTTGGAATCAACACACCCCTTCCCTTTTTTTCTGGTGAAAATGGCACTTTTAAAATAAAGACTCAGACTTGGGGCTTGAGAGTCAGGACTTGATACCAAAGACTCAAACCTGGACTTGGGACTCAGACCCAAAGACCTGCCAACATCCCTGGTGTTTTCAGGCAGTGGTTAAATGAATCAACAGATACTGATCCCATGTACAGGGCGGTCCTACTGTAATTAACCCAGAAGAAGAGTGTGCTGGGCTCCCATTGGAAATCCCTAAAGACAAGGTGGAAAAATTAAAAAATAAGGCCCATTCTTAAGAAAACGTATTTGGTGATGGATGATTTGAACAATTACGACTCATCTCAAATATTTATTTCTTGTGTAACTTGACCGAGAGGGTGGTAGCTGATCAGCTGCCGGCATTCTTGGAAGGAACTGATAATCTGGATCCATTTCAATTGGGGTTTAGGCAGCAACATGGTATTGAAACAGCCCTGGTCATCCTGAAAGGGAGGCAGACAGGAGGAGTGTAACCCTGCTGGTCCTCCTGGATCTTTCTGCAGTCATTAATACTATCAATCATGGTAGCCTTCTAGGATAGCTATCAAGTTTAGAGATTGGGGGCTTTGCATTTCAGTGGTTCCAGTCCTTTCTTGATGATTGACTGCAAATGATACAGCTTGGGGATACTGTGTCCAACTCTTGGGGACTATGTTATGAGATTCCACAGGAGTCAATCATCTCCTCAATGCTCTTTAACATATACATGAAGCTGCTGGGAGAAGTGATTTGGAGATTTAGAGTTTGCTGTCACCAGTATGCTGATGATATGCAACTCTATCTCTCCTCTTTTTCTTCTGCAAGAAATGCAGGTCTTTGAGCACTACTTATCTTCAGTAACAGAATGAATGAGAGCCAATAAACTAAAACTGAACGCAGATAAGATAGAGACCCTACTTTTAGGAGAATTGTTGGACTGGTTAGAAGGAAATTTATCTGATCTTAATGGGGTTAACTCTTTTCTTGGGGGATCAGGTTCACAGCTTTGGGGTACCCTTTGACCTATGGACGCTCAAATACCTGCTATGGCCAAGGGTGCCTTCTATCAACTTGCCCAGTTGTGCCCCTACCTGGATAAGAAATGCCTAGGTTTTTTTCCCCCAAAAGACAGTATGTGAACCTCCAAGACAATATGAAGTACAAGTGGATTGGATAGGATTGCAGCTTAGAATTGATGAACAAATAGTCAAGGAATATCTTATTACTTTGAACATGTTCAAATTTCCAGGGGCTGATGAACTGCATCCAAGAAGAAACTAGCTGGAGAACTTTCAGAACCACTATTATATTTCTGAAATTATGAAGGATGTGTGAAGTGCCAGATGATTGAAAGAAGGCTAATTTTGACCTTATCTTCAAACAGGGCAAAAAAAGGAGGAATCTGAAAACTACAGACTAGTCAGTCTGATGTCAATCCTGAGGAAAATTCTGGAGCAGGTTATAAAGCAGTCACTCTGCAGGTACTTTGAAAACAATGGAGTAATAACTCCAAAGCCTCCCAGCACTCCACTGCCTCCGCCACAGCTGGGGCCGAGCAGCCAAGCTCAAGCCTCCCGGTGCTGGGTGACCCTGTCTCCGATCACGGTGGTGGGGGACCTCCAGGAGGTCTCCGATGGCGGCGGGGAAGCCCTGGGAGCTTCCCCGCCACAATCGGAGACCTCCTGGGTGTCCCTTGCCACTGCAATCGGAGGCAGCGGTCACCCAGTGCTGGGAGGCTTCTATCGGGGGAAGCCCTCAGGAGGGCTTCCCCTGGTAGGCCCGGTCTACTCCCCAGGGAAGCCTGATAGACCGGGCCTACCAGGGGAGGGCTTCCCCCAGTAGGCCCAGTCTACCCTCCAGGAAAGCCTGAAGGCGCCAATTGCGGTGGCAGGAGACCCCCAGGAGGTCTCCCATGGCAGCAGGAAAGTCCTGAGAGCTTCCCTGCCGCCATCGGAGACCTCCTAGAGTTCCAATCACGGTGGGGGGGAGCAATTTTAAATTTCCCACCCTTTTCCGCCGCCGCAATCAGACCCCCAGGAGGTCTATGATGGTGGCGAGGAAGCCCTGGGAGCTTCCCCGCCATCATTGGAGACCTCCTGGGGGTCCTTTTTCCTAACTGCTGGGGCGAAAGAGCAGCCTCTTGCCACCAATGGTTTGAATGGAATAAAAAAAGGCAAGGGAAATTTGAATTTCCCGCCCTTTTCCCCTGCCTTTTTTTCATTCGTACGTCAAGGCTCCGTTCGCAAGTCAAGGTAGATTTTTGCGAACAGAGGCATTCGTAAGTTGAATCATTTGCAGGTAAAGACATTTGTAAGTTGAGGTCCCACTGTATCTGCTCTTGTATCAAACAAGAGGATACAGTAAAAGGCAACTGAAGACATAGATCTTATTTTGCTATTAGGAGAACGTCGCAACTGTTGTCATACACAGAGAATGTGACTGCAAATATTACTGAGACATAGTTAGCAAAGCATCATTAATCACCAGTTAAGAGTATGTTCAATATTATTTGAGTCTTAAACTAAGGGACAATTGTAAACATATGAGCTTGTCCACACTGAGTATTTGTTCAACCTTTCTTGCAACTATGATGATAGTATGCCATCTTTATGTCCACAAAATACAAGACTGAATCTAGTGTCAACAGCATCAGAACATGACAAATAACCTTGCTTTGGTTATTTTTTCTTTTACTTTTTTTAAAACTGTTCTACTTTAGTCTGACTTGTTCTAGCTTGAGTCCAATACTCATTAAATTCTACTTATAGTGCACTTTGTTGGTCTGTGTCATTTGAATATGTTTTGTAAGGAGCGTGTTTCTGCTGGTCAATCACCACCCCTCAATACCTTACTGCTGCTCCTGTTCCGTTTTCTTGGGATATCAGCTGTTCTTGCATTCTGCTTTTAATTTTTTTAAGTTACAACTTTTGCATCATAGCACAAAAGTGAAAATTAAAAACAAAAAAAAATTAAAGTTATAAAGTTTTGTTGCTAAAAGGTGAAGGTTTGGTGAACTGGTAAAACAAGAGGGAAGGGTTTTACACCATAACCTGATGGTAAGAAAGCACTGCAGAAAAAAATATGAACATATGAGAATGTGGAATGGATAAAACAGGAAGAAAGGGAAGAGAAAGGGAAGTAGGTAGGTAGAGGGCAGAGAAGACTAGCAAAAGAGGACAATAATCTGTGCTGGGAGCTAAAATCTCAGAGAGCTGTACCTAACACTGTTCCAAGACCTCTATTCAGCGCACAGTACTATAGTCTCTTGAGACTGAAGGATGCCTACTAGGTACCTGATGTGTGTGGACAGACAATATCAGTACAAACCAGTGCATCCCAATACTTCCAGTAATAAATACTCTTGCCATGTGTGGACACCAATACCAAACATGATCTATTCAGATTCACAACAAAAAATACAGAACCCAGAGCAACTCCAGCACAACCAGGGACAACACCACAGTGTGGATGAGATCTAAAATAAAGAACAGTTCCACCTTCTTGTCTTTTCTATTTATAATCCTTAATTTGGAAATCAGTATGCTCAGTTCTGGAACTATTTAATATACATACAAGTACATTCATTTCATGTAGAACTTTTCCTAGTACTAAATCAAAAGCAACAGTGATTTGATCTATAACTAAATGTTTTATAACAATTTCAAGCATAAGCAATATTTTTACCCTGCATATGATTACTACAAATACTTCAATTCTATTTGTTTTTGCGTGTGTGTGAAAACAAATAAATTAGAAACAGGAAAGAAAAAAATGAGATAATTTCAACAAGCCATACCTAGTAATAAGGACCGCATTATCATGGTGGGCAATTCCATTTTCTGAAATGGTGTTTCCATCACTTTGGTGAGAGAGAATGGATTTCTGCCACTTACAGAAGCTATCAAGGGACTTGTCTGCATGGTGATTTATCTCCAAGTTTGGCTGCAATACAACATGCATACCAGAAATGTTCCAAACAAATTACTAGGGTCAGCGGTTAAGACTTCTGAAGTCTAAATCTGATCTATAATTAGAAGCAGTGATTTCTAGGAATAATTTCTCCTTGCCAGATTTTATCTCTGACCTACAGTTTATTTTGTGCATACATCTCATAGATTTAAGTTAAAACTTCAATAATTGTTTGTCAAATGTAAGAATTATAGTTTCAAACGTTACCACATGGAGAGATTATCTTAATGTGGGAAAAAAGTAGTATTTAAAGCAGCTTTTCAGGTTTCAAAATAAAGAAACAAAAAACAACCTGCAACAACTTTCTAATTCTAAAATCTCCCACATATGTAATTCTCAGTAAAGAGAGGCAAAAATCTTTAAAATGCATTTTAAATATCATTCTAAACTCCTCTAATTTTCCGATCACAAAAGACTACAGGTGAAATTTAATTATCCAACTCTATTTTAAACAATAATAAGACTATACAATTTATATTTCTGAGAAGTAAGTTTTATGTTAAAATTCATTCTTACCTGATCTTCTGTGAGGACAATTAAACGAGTCACTATAATATTCACAACGTTTCCTAGGCTGGAGTCACGATAAAGTTTGGCAACCTGACCTCCAGAAAATAAGAAAAGATACAAAGTCAGACAAAAATTCTAAAAAGTTTGATATATATTTAAACATAATTCATTTTTTCCTGTCTCACAATGGCTGAAATCATGCTGTGCAACTGAACGTGCATAAATCCTCACAACATCCTGCAAAAGATCATCTTTATTGTAAATTTTCCTATCTTCCTCTCTCCCTAAGGTTCTGAGACTCCCTAAGGATGTCTTTCAATTTGGGGAAGTCTTTGGGGACCTCAAGATGGTTGCGAGGATGCCTTTAATGTTACAAAATTACGGCCACTGGTTCTGCTACTGGGATCAGGGCTTGCAGCAATTTTGGGGCATTAAAGAGCCTTTAATAAAGTCTTTAAAGTTTCTTCCATGCCCGAGTCCTTATGCTTTCAAGGGCTTCCTCAGGTTGGAAGAGAAAATGAAGTCTTTACCCCATCTACTCTGTGAGAGTTTTTAACTTGAAAAGCACACAATAAATCCTTCAAATAAATTAAAGCTCAGTGGAAACTGGCTTTTATATTATTGAAAAATACACAATTCAAATACTCAAAACTAAAACTAATAGCAAAATCCTACTTTACATGCTAACTTCTGCAGCAAAAACAAACACATTATGACAGTTACTACAGAAGCTATGTGTGACCTATTTGCTCTTCTTTGCTATCCCATTTCACTTAGATACATGTGGAATTAGGATTATCTTCTCAAGAGGTCTTTGCAATGTGCATCTACATGTTTAGGGGTCTCTCTCAATCTCTACATATGAGGGTAAATAGCTGTGGCCACCTTAGCACAAAGACTCAACAAATTCCAGCACTGGTTAAAGAAAAGCAGCTGAGTTTTTTCTTAGGGATGGATCTGAAGCAGAAGAAGTTGCTATTTACCCTTCAAATAGATATATTTTGTAGCAAAAATTTATATCAGCCATTTCTAACAGAAATCATACTGTAACACTCTAGCATCAACCCATCAGACTTCAGGAGCACAATTCAATTATCCAGTTCCTAGTAAATATCTACCATGTTTTCCCCAAAATAAGACAGGGTCTTATATTAATTTTTCCTCCAAAAATGCATTAGGGCTTATTTTCAGAAGATGTTTTATTTTACAGTCATGTCATCTTCTGGTTGCTGCACAATGCTGTACAATGGTGGTGGGTGAGGTTTCACTTAACTAGGGCTTATTTTGGGGGTCGGGCTTATATTATGAGCATCCTGAAAAATCATACTAGGGCTTATTTTCAGGTTAGGTCTTATTTTTGGGAAAAACAGGGTAACAAATGTGGAAAACATCAAACATACTAGATTCTGAATGTTACATCCTTAATGTCTGTTATGTTTAAACAAATTATACCAACATGCAGATCAAACTTACAATATTCATGACGCTCAAGATATAATGCTCAATATCTTTGCGACCATGGTATCCCACCATCATTTTGTCTGCTACTACCAGAGTTTCCACAAATCGTTCAGTGCTTATTGATCTCTTCGGTCGATGGTGACTATTTAATGTGTGATTGACTGGAAGTAAAGTCGGGAAAGCAACAGTACTGTTCAAGCACCAAGGTTTACTGCTTCCTGTGAGGTCTTCTAGGAATCAAAATAATTAATAATATGAAATGGATTGCTTTATTAACTTCCTTTCTGTACACCTGTTTTATGTTTATATTGCGTTGTAGGTTTTTTTTAATTAATTGAATTCTAATTTAGTCAAGAAAAATTAAACCCCACCTTTTCAAAAACATTGTCCAAAACCTTGTTGCTTAACATAATAAATTGCATTACAGTAGACATATGTGCCATAGGTTCGCCATCACTGGTCTACGGATTTGAAAAAGAAGGATAGGAGGCTTGCTATTAATTGAAATAAAATATTCCCTTCACTGGACGATGACATTGTCTTACTCAACAAGTGGTGTAACTGTACGAACAGGATTGCAGCCATTGAATTCATGAAAAATTTCCTATCCAGTTTGTGGTATTATTCAGGTTTATTTCTTTGTAAGAGACACAGAAATGTATTATGGAGCAATTAAATCATCTGTGTTTCTATCACCAGTCCACATGACTTTTATTCAAAATGAATGGAAAAGGGCTTTGCCTCTTTCTCTGTATCTCTCATTATGAGCCGGCTTGGGTGTTAAGATCATAAGAAGAAGCCTTTCTGTTGGTCCCAACACCTTCACAGGTGTGTCTGATGACAACACATGAGAGAGCCTTCTCTGTTGCTGCTCTCAGACTTTAGAACTCCCTCCCACAGGAGACCAGACCAGCCCCATCTTTGTTCTAATTCCACAAGTAGGTGAAGACCCTTCTCTTCAGACAAGCCTTCTCTCAATCAGTAGCTACCTGTTGTGTGATTTTTTTAGATGGGTTATGTATTACTGCTTTGACTGAATTTTTAGTATTATGTTTTCCATTTCTGTGTTTTCCATTTCTCAGAGTGGCATTTACATAAATTTATATGCAGTAATGCATATTTACAGTCACTGTTCTTAGCTTTAAATATTGTCTTTCAATGTTGTAAGCTGCCTTGAGTCCTTTTCAAGATGTACATAAGGCAGGGTAAAAATATTTTAAATAAATAAAATACAGGTCCAATGCTAACATTAAGTGGCCTACTAACCAAATCATACACCTTTCTGTTCTTTTGTCACCAGACCACTATGTTTCTACACTAAGCAGGTGTATAAGAAACCCTCACCCTGCAGATAAAAAGTAAAGAGGGATAGCAACTGCATCATGTATTATTCTGCTACCAGTTTTTCATGATCCTATGCTAGATGCACAATACGTTTACCTGCTGCAAGGATATCAAACATAGCAGTCTAGCAACAGTAAAAGAAATCCTTATTCTACCCCTACTAGCATTCTCCATTTCAGTGTTGGATGAGTAGTAAAAAACAGTGGCTAAAAGTCTGCTACTTAGCGTAGCAAGTTACAATTAGAGGAGGCCCACTGAATCAATGGAACTTACGAGAGGAGCTGGTTCACCAAATCTCCATTGATTAAATAGGCCTACTCTGGTTGTGACTTACTATGTTGCAAGCTGCCTAGAGTGGTTGTAACTGACCAGATAGGCAGTATATAAATAAAATAATTAAATAAATTAAATAAATAAATTACTATGCTAAGCAATAGGATTTCAGCCAAGATCACTTCCTATGCTTCCAGAATATAAATGAAATGAAATGCTTGAGAAAGGCCTTCATAGCTCTGCTGGTAGCCGGTATAGATTCTAAGAAGTCCAGGTAGGAATCTATTTTGCCTTCTTATTGCTCATTGTACAAATACAGAACAGGGCAAGCAGTCACAAGTGACAAAGAGGAGGGATTGACATATCCACCCATTTCCATCCCTTATGAAATCACTTTAATTGATATGGTACAAGCAGTAGGCATAACACAAGGTGGTCTTCTTGGTGTTTGCTTAAAGATACTGGCTAGAATCCTATTTACTTACATGATTATATAAGGCCAATCAAGTTAAATTTTTCCTCCCTTTTGGCAGGCTCTCTATCAAATGCAATGACTGAAAATCAGATGACTAATTTCTCACATGCCTGAATGCATGAAGAGGAAATGACAAGAGAAGAAAAACTACTATGCAATTGCTTTATGCACATCAATTTCTGGCATCTTTCCTACCAAAAAGGATAACTATTTTCTTTATGATTGCATGATAAAATCCAAAAAGCACTGATAGCACTAAATTTACTCTAAGAGGGTCTTAAGTTATATTTTTGTTTGAACAAAAACAGAAATATTCTATGTATTTTATCATAATTAAGTAATAAAACCATTAGTGAGAGTTCATCCTTACTTACCTGAAACACCACAATGGGTATGATCATAGAAAAGTTGATGATACATGGCAGATTTTTTGTAAATAATATGAGGATGACCACTTTCATAACTAAATTTATTTGAATGTTCACTTATGTTTCTTAAAGGCTCAATAAAATACTCTTCATCTTCTGTAGCAATAACACCATGCTTTAGAAAAAAGTGGGAAAGAATATATGTATCAGTTAACCAGGATATGAAAATATACAAAGAATTTGCCTTTTTAAATAAAAAATTAATTTGCAGTAAGGATTAACAAGTGCTGTCCAAAATTCATGTATACTGTGTTCTGCCTACACTTCAGTCCCTCAGATCAGCCGACCCTTCCAATTTCGATAAAATAAGATAACTTACCAATAAATAAAACAAAAATGGGAAAGCAACAAATTAGATAACACAGAGACTTTGGTTGTTAGTTTTTTATATATAAGAACTTTTTATGCAGCCTTAATATTCAAACTGGTGGCTCACATCTCCTAAGTAGGAATGTCCTGATGTAAAGATAATTTGTGCATCTCGCCTTGGGGAAAACAACCAGGCATTAACAATAGTCTGGCATTCACATATGTAATTAATAAAGATGTGCAAATTTGAGCTTTGGACTACAGCTCCCAGAGTTGGCAATACTGTCTGGGAACTTCTGTGTGTTGTTCAAAAACAGACATTTGCACCTCTCTGATAATTAGCATCCAAACCACACTTGGAGTATATATTCTACTTCTTTTCTAAGACTTGGGGTTCAGAAAGCAAAACTTCCCAGTGAAAATTAATTATATGTTTTTTTTAATTGTCAAGATCCTATGACTTACAACTTACTACCAATAACATATTCAACAATAATGTCCAATAGAACAGTCTGAAACAATATACTTAGATAGGAATATTACGATCACATACATGGTCAAAATGCTGTTGCTTAGCACAATAAATTGTATTAGAGTAGGTCCACTGAATCAATGAGGATTTGGGCAGTCAACTCCTCTTCTATTGATTCAAATGGGCCTACTTTAATTGCAACTTACGATGCTAAAGTACATCACAGTTAGAGTAGGCCCACTTTAATCAATGAAACTCACAGAGGCATTGACTCCCCAAATCCCCATTTATTTAGTGGGTCTACTATAGTGCCATTTACTATGCAAAATTTACTAAACAAAAGGATTTTGGCCATTGTACTAAAAATGATTTAATATGACACAACATATCAAACTACTTTTCTAATTGCAAGATCTATTCAAAGCAATCCTTAAGATTATCTGCTTTTTATACTGAAACCTAACACTATAAACCACCTTCATGTAAACAGAGACTAATAAAACTTATCCACATTATTTTTATTGTTAATAAAAACATTTTTAAATACCACCTCAAAACAGACTAGCAGAGCAACAAAACAAAGGAAGAAGTCTCACTCACTTTCCACAGCAAGCTGACTGAATTTACAATAAAATACACTTGCTCTTTTGGAGCATGCAAAACAGTTTACCTGTAACTGTTCTTTTCATGGGTCTTCTGTGCAATCAATCATTTGTGAGTATATCTAAGCATATAACAGGCAAAGGCCTTCTAAAAAACTGAAGTATTGGGAGTGGTGCTCATTTTGATTTGCACAGGAGGAACAGATTACCTTGCATAGACTAAGAAGGTTGAACCACTGCCACCGTACCTCGTTTTTTCCACTGAATGAAATCCTACTGCACAGTATTAAGCGATGTAAGGCTGATGATATCATCTGTCACATCAGTTTGGGGTTTTTTTTAATTAAAAAAATCCCCCCCCCCAGCCTCCAAGGCTCCCTTGTGATCTCTTTTGTTCTGGGGAAGCCATTGGGACCTGCAGGAGGAGGGGGGCATCTTTAATTTCTGAAAGTCCCTGCTGGTGAAATGCTATTACTAGTAGTGACCATTTTGGAATTTAGAGATTTCCTCCTCTCCGGAGGCCCCCAATGGCTTCCCCAAGATAAAAGAGATCCCAAGGGAGCCTTAGAAGCTTTTGGGGGGAATAAAAGAATTTTAATTTCCAAAAAAACCCTACCATGGTTGATGACATCATCAGCCCTACATGGCATGAAGTTGCACAACAGGATTTCAGCTACTGATTGTTACAGGAGGCATGAGTAACAGAACAGCTCTCACATGACACTTATGATATCTGCACAAACTCCTAGTATTACAAATGGAGGGGGAGGGCGCAGAGGCACAATATATTTCTGCAGAATACCTTGCATAACTATACACGGATTATTCTGTCAACCAAAAAAAAATCTGGGGAAAGGGGAAAGGGCAAACCTGAGGCTCAAGGTATGGGATGTCATAGTATTAAAAGCCATAGATCATGACCGGTTTATTACCCAGACATATGAAAAATGATTATTTTAGGCCATGAGAAAAATCTGACCAAGACTACCATTAAAAAAATAGAAATAGCTCTAGTGCACACTCTAAGTGAAGGGAGCACTACTCTTGGCAACTGAGTAATCCAGAATTAAATTTAAAGGGTTGCATATGCATTGCAATATTGAGAAAGATGATAGCATTTGACTATATTTAACTTTCAAGTGGAAGACTACCTTGCATTGACAAAGCTCTCAATTAGTATAGCAAGGGCCACAAGAAAGACACAAAAACCCCAAATCCCAACTGAAAAATGAGATGTAAGAGAACTACTTTTAGACAAGGTGCTCTTGGCACTGTCAATCAGACGGCATTAGATACTTACTCCATCCCAGTAAACAAGGCAGGCTGATCACTCCATTTTTACCAGCCTGGTCTAACAGTCAGCTCTTTCATCTGACCTCAAATAACAGAAACCCACCCCCTGGAAGTTGTTTCAGGATCTAAAGAATCAATAAAAATTGAGAAAAAGAACACTTCTTTCTGAATAGCAACTGAACTATGACAGCAGCTGTAACCAAAACAGAGTTTGCTGCAGATGTTAACTACAAAAAATTGGAACATTCTGTGTTATCTGTTGTGGCAAATATATCAATGCATATCTCAAAATGAAATAGTAATACAGAGACAACAGCCATGTAGAAAATGTTTAGAGCATTCCAGTAAATCTAATCAGGGGTTGTTTATTCATGGAAACAAGAATGGTATGAATTAAGATGATTTAAATACACTAGCAAATGCTGATTTCCAACCTGCACAAGAGAACAGATCAAATCAAATGTCCTTAGTTCACTGAGATAAATCAGTGAGGAGACCATAAAAGTTTTGTAGAAAAGACTAGACAAAACTCAAGGAGAGTTATCTGGGCTTGCCTCTGATGCAGAGTAAAGGATTGGTGCTCACCATTCCATGTATTAAGCAGCATGCTTAATAACATTTAACGTAACTACTGTTAAAAGGACACTGACTTTCAAAGGCCAAAGGGGAATGTCAATCAGTACACCGAAAATATATTACAATACAAATCAGAAACATAACAAGCTTGGCCTGACAATAAAGAAACAAGAGGAGAAACCCAAGATGTAACCACTGGAAAAATAAACCTGGATCCTTAGCCTGCTGTATGAAATAACAAACACTGCCAATGGTGTGTGTTGCTGAAAAGATGTAGTTCGTTCCTTTGAGGGTTTAGGATCTGGCAGCAGTCAGAGACTGCAAAAATCCAAGAGCATCTAAAGCAACAACGATAGTGAGTTCTGAAGGGGACAGATGAGGTTTCTCCAAACTGATGGGTGGATCTGCAGATTTTGTTAACGATGCTGGTGCTTGTGTTGGTACTAAGGAAATACAGAAGAATTCTGAGTGCAATCCCTATGAAAAACTGTGACAGTAATAACACCTATTATCACATTCTGCAACAGAATAATCAAGACAACCTTAAACTCTTCTACATCATTTACTTCAGTTCTCTCCCCACAAACTCACCAGCTGCCGCAAGGTAACCTGCAGTCTCTCAATTTCAGCCCCAACCTGCAGTATTTTTTTTAAAAATCCCCCTTCTCCTCGCATTCCTTTCAGGACTACAAAAGCATGATGTTTATCAAACATTTCACAAACTTTTCTTAAGAGTTTGCTAAGAATTATATGTAAAGAGAAACATACAATTGGAAGTTTCTCAAGACATTTTAGCCTTCTGATTGAAACAATAAGAAAACTCTTTCCTGATTTTTGCCCCATCTAATTTTAAACTTTTTGACCATAAAGTAATGCTTAAAATTTTACAAAATTAGGATAATCTATGCTGGTGTGACACATATTATATAATATACAGCTTTGGCAAATAATTGTTTCAGCAAACAGTTCTAGCATTTTGAATAGAGCAGTTCCTCCTATATTTGCCAGCTCAGCAGCTTAAAGGAACAGGTCAAAAACTTTCAGTGTTGATCCTACAAAACAGATCTACTGAAATGAATAGGATACATTGGTGACATGTCCCATTCATTCATTGAAGATACAGAATTCTATCCATTTTGTTTTTAAAATCATTGGCTGCTTTTGAGATAAAAAATAGTAACAGAGAAATTCATCAGACTTCTCAGACTTAAAATCTACCTAGACAAACCAAACCTAACACCTCAGATGACTCAACACTGTCATCTTGAATACAGTACTGTATATGAAAAAAATATCTCCTACAGGCTGACCGACCAAACTATTGTTTGAATAAACGTAGAGAAAGCACAATTATTACTTCTAGCAGTCCAGCTATCCAAATGTCTCATTATGGCATGACATCATTTGTAAAAAAAAAACCCAAACAAAAACAAAACACAGGTTTCAGTGCAGGACTAAAAGTAAGGTTTAGTCTCACAGTCATAAACATGAGAGCAAACTCCACAGAACTCAATGTGACTTATTTCCAAATAAACATTATAAAACTCCACTGTAATTCATCTTTATGCTTCAACTTGGGTTTTAAAAGAGATTGAATTATCTAAACAGCAGGGTGCTAGGATAATAGTTCCTTTTCCCTTTGCTTCACTTCACAAGTCCTTTTTCTTACTAGTACTGGCTTTTTAAAAGCTAGTTTCCTTGATTAGAGTTATTAATCAGGGGCTTCCAAGTGGTTTTTTTCCACGTGATTCTATAACAACTTTCTCTAGGCCATACTTATAGGATGTTAATGTACTCTGGAAACAAGTCTCAAGTAAAAAAGAAAGATTTCTAAAATTAGTCATTCGCTTTTGGTTTGAGAGA